GGAGCAAGACTGAATCAATATGGGGAATAAATTCCTATTTCTTAAACTATAAACCCATTAGGGCAGGAATATGTTGGATTTTTTTGTACAGGGCAAAGGACATTGCAGGTACTCAATAAATAATAGTAATAAAACACAATGACATTCAGATATCATTGTTATAGGGCAGGGCTATTCATCATATGGCCCGTGGGCCACATGAGGCCTGCAGTGAGTTTGGGTTTTGCAGGGCTCAACACACGGCCCACGAGTGGGAGCCAAACCAAAAAGTAGTAAATATAATGGTCTTCTGTTGATATGCATTGTAGTAGTTAAATTCATGGACTGTCATTGCTCATTAAAAGTGTTGCTGTATGGCTGGAAGTCAGGTAAATATTACATTTTATTAATATCAGCTGAACTGACTTAAATGGGTCCTGTGTGTTGTGTAGTCTTGCCTTAATCTTTGTATTCATGCCGGTCAGTGTGAAAGAAGCTATTTGCACATATATTTGCATGTATATGTAACCACAATTAAGTTGCAGTCCTTGGCATGTGCTGAGAGTATCATTGTGACCCCCAGGGCTTCGAAAGTTGAGTGGCCCTGTTATAGGGCAATGCTTCTATTCTGCATTGAAAAGAAAGATCTCGCTCATTCAGAAAAAAGAAATGTCTTCCAAAATCAAGGAACAAATATTTGTATTTCAGTCTAGGGTAAGGGGCAAGGAAGTAAAGGCAAACTGAAATGAATCAGTTGGGGACTGAAAAAAATGTTTGTGGGTATCACAAGTATTCTAATAAGATACAATAAAATATCCCTCTAAAGACTCAACAAGAGAACTACTCACTCCAATGTGAAAGCAATAGTTTTGTGCCCATACATTTGTTTGTCCAAATTGTTTGAGGTTGGTGGTCATAAATTTAAGCAAAGAATGATTAAACAGCATGAGCTGTACCTTTATAATTATTCAGCTTTGCACCTAACACTCTAAAGTTACCCTAAATCTGGGGGTGGCAGCCAGCTTTAGGAATCTCTCTCCCCTAAATAGGGGATTCTCTTACCTTGCGTTGATCAGTTGTAGCTACTCTTATACCAAACCCCCTCCCTGCAGCAAGTGGAATGAGAGTTCTAACTTAGGAGTGATCTACACTACAGCACTAGATTAATCCACACCCATGCTGGATGTAGTTAAAATGACCTAAGTCTCCATGTAGACAGTGCTAGGTTGATGGGAGAATTATTTCATTGACGAAGTTACTGCCTCTTTGGAAGGAGCATTACCTATACCAATGGGAGAGCTCTCCTGCCTGCATAAGTAGTGTCTCCAGTGACATGCTACCATGGCAGAGCTGAGGCACTACCACTCTGCTGGTGAAGAATTTAAAGTATAGACAAGCCCTCAATAATTCTAGGATAGCAGAAAAACTGTTCGAAGCCACAGGTAGCCACTTAAGGCTTGTCTGTACAAGGACATTCAGGAGAATTAAACCACATTAAATTTTACGTAAACAAGTCTTAAAGTAGCTATAAAATTGCTCTAAATTGCTTCTGGGAATAGTACAGTTTTGTCCAAAATCAGATGGCCTTTGCCTTGTCCCTCCTGAGCATTGTTGAGTGCCCTTTTATTGCAGTTCAGGACATGGGCCCACGTGTTTCGGCTCGAACACCAAAAAAGAAAGTGGGAAGTAACAGAATGGAATTGGATTGGAGGGAGGAAAGGAGGGAGATGGCAAAGATGAATTAACAAGAGAAGAGGCATGAAAGCAACAATATACATTTTTAAAAGATAGATTTAAGTGCTCATATTATGCAAAGGATGGTGTCAAAAACTGTAAGTGTATTTTACTCATTTTTTTAATGTTTCTCTTCTGTCTTTCCTGACTTGCCATCACCATGATTAATGCTGCTTGTTTAAATTTACTTTTCTCCATAAAATCTGTAGAGATAAAAACGACAAACCACTAGAGGGCAGACAGTGAAGCTCTTCCTCCTAGCAGTGACTGTGTATTTGCTCATGCAACTAGTCTCACTGAAAGCAATGAGATTATTTTTATTATTTGTATTAGAGCAGTATCTAGAGCATTGGTCACCAACCAGGAGATCGGGATCTACTGGTAGATCTTGGAGCCTCTGACAGGAAATCCTAACTGGTTTGGCTAAGACGTTATCAAGCCCAGCACTTCAGCTGCCCTCTCCCCAGACTGCAGCACATCTCCTGCCCTTTGCCTTGGAGCTGTCCCCTCAGGAGCCTCTGCTTTCTGTGCAGGGCAGGGAAAGGAGAGGTGGGGAGCGCTGATGTCAGGGTGCCTGTATCCTATCTCCACAGAGCAGAGGGAGGCACAACAGGACTTGGGATGGAGTATGCTGGCTGCTTTTGGGAGTGGTGCAAGGACAGGGGTGAGCCTGCCTTAGCCCCACTGTACCACCATCCAGGAGTCACCTGAGATAAACAGTGAGCTGGTGCCCACATCCTGAAAACCTACCCCAGTCAAGAACCCCCAAAACCCTGCCCTAGCCTTGAGCACCCCTGGATCCAAACAGCCTTCCAGAGCCTGCACCTAGAACCCCCTTTGACACCTCAACTGTCTGCCCCAGGCTCAGCTCAGAGCCCCTCTCACACTTCAAATCCCTTAATCCAAGACCAGAGTCTGTTCCCCAACTCTCTGCCTCAGACTAGTGAATGTGAGGGAGGGTGGCAGAGGGAGTGAGTATGGAGTGAGCAGGGGTAAAGGACTCGGAGAAGGGGGACAAAGGAGGCGGGGCCAGAGTATTTGGATTTGCGTTAGATCTTGGATTGCACTTAAATTCAAAATGTGATCTCATGCTTAAAAAGGCTGGAGACCACTGATCTAGAGGCTCCAAGCTGGCTCATGGCCCTGTTGTGGTAAACACTGTATAAAACACTTGGGCTGTTTCTAGATTGCACCCCGTTTCCGTAAAAGGGATGCAAATTAGACACAGCGCAATTGCAAATGAAGCGGGGATTTAAATCTTCCCCGCTTCATTTGCATAAACATGGCTGCCGCTTTTTTCCGGCTCGGGGCTTTGCCGGCAAAAAGCGCCAGTCTAGATGGGGATCTTTCGGAAAATAAAGCCTTTTCTGAAAGATCCCTTATTCCTGATTTAAAGAGGAATAAGGGATCTTTCGGAAAAGGCTTTATTTTCCGAAAGATCCCCATCTAGACTGGTGCTTTTTGCCGGCAAAGCCCCGAGCCGGAAAAAAGCGGCAGCCATGTTTATGCAAATGAAGCGGGGAAGATTTAAATCCCCGCTTCATTTGCAATTGCGCTGTGTCTAATTTGCATCCCTTTTACGGAAAAGGGGTGCAATCTAGACACAGCCAATATGGACAAAGAGTAGGATAGGAAACACAAGTCAAGAGACTTGTCCAAGTACATGCAGTAAATCTGAGTGAAAGGCAGGAATAGAACCTTAGTCTTCCAGGTCCCAGTCCAATATCCTATTGTACAACACTGCAACTTGTTTATATTATGCAAGGGGATACATGAGTAAAGACACTACAATCTAGATTATAAAAATGCCATTTCCAGTTCAAAGGAGCCATTTCTAATAATCTGCTGATTATTTTGAACTTTATATTTATGCAAGATTTAGGTTAATAAAGTTTAAGCTTAATCTCTATACAATTAGAAGCAGCTATTCAATTATTTTATAAATGTCTGCTAACAGACCCCTTGAAATACTAAAAGGCACTTTGTCTCACTAAGTCCAGCAAAACATCTGACGTGTCTAAACCAAAACATTTTAGAAACATAAAATAAAAAAGTTAGGATTAAAAAAAAAATCCCAAACAAGCAAACAAACAGAGCAGTTCAGAAAATGTCATGAGCCACATTCACTATCATTCACCAGCTCATTCCAGCAACACCAAGCAAGCTGTTAAACTGTCTTAACTGGCTGTCTAAACTGGGTTTATAGCTGCTTTGTAACACTAGAGCAGTGCAAAGCAGTTAGAAGTTTTAAAGTAGGAGAACATACTTTCTCTGCTTTTGCCAAATTTCCCAGGGATAATGCTACATTAGGGTGAAATATGGGACCTGAAATTTCAGGAAAGTTGGTTTATTTTTTGAGACGTTAGGCAGAACGTTCACAATCAAGTCTACAATATTAATACATGGGTGGCTAAACATACTGATCTTCCAAGCCACATATGACAATCTTCAGAAACCCAGGAGCTGGGGCTTACTTGCTGGGGTCTGGGGCTTCAGCCCTGTCCAGAGGCACCTGCTGGGGCTTCAACCTCACTCCTCCTGAAGCCTCAAACCCTGGCACACATATTTGAAAACTCTTCTCTCTGCTCAGTAGCAGCCAAAGGTAATGCTTAGGGGGATGTGTGGGGTCATTTGCTTCCCCACAAGATTTTTGCCAGGGTTTGCTGGCTCTGCTCAGTCACATGGTTCCACAGGGCCCATTCCCTGTACCACAGCTGCTGCAGCGGAATGAGGCAATGGCAAACAGCTGGGAGATACTTGAGGAGCAGCTGCTTTCACTGCTGCCTTTTGGGCAAAGCTTAAGCAGTGGCCCCTTCTGGCAGCTCTCAGTTGTTTGCCATTGCTTCTCCACATGGAGTTAACACCTAGAAGCTGAAGGAAGAGACTGCTGAGAGCATGGGGGTGGGGAGGAGGGACAGAACTCAAGCTGCTGGGAGGAGAAAACCTTTAAATAGTGACTCCCACCTCTCAAGAGGCACCAGTTATCTCTAGCAGACATCCTTAGCTTCACAATCACACTGGCGGGCAGAAGCCTTGAACTCCCCCTCATCACCAGTCTGGTACACAGAGAAGAGGGAAGAGAGGCATGCCATGAGGTGCACTTTAACTTGAAGAGCTGCATGTGACTTGTGAACTGTGGTTTGGCCACCGATGATATAACAGGACACTAACTTCAATCTTAACCATGGAGAGGCTCCTGCCACTGTAGAATGCTCTAATCTGCTCAGTGCGCTGGATAGTTAAACACAGGATGACGTTATCCACATTCAGGTTATTTCCAGACTTACCACACCATTTCACTTTCCAGTTCCGATTAGCATCTACACCATGGCAACGAAACTGTGAGTTCTTTGACCTTGTTTTTCTCCAAAATCGGTCCTAGTTATTTTTAAAATAATGAAAATAATTAAATATCTCAATAAAACTATGTACATAAAGCAAATCTTAAATGCTGAAGATGCTCAGTGCAATATTTTCACTTTGTTACAAGTCAATTTAAATCCCGAGGTCTTGTAAAATAAAGTGGTGGATCAGAACTTATAGCATGCAAATGAGATTTCCCATATAGTCACTCCATCTTTTGATCTTAATATGTTTTCAGATACATGGGCCAAACTACTTACATTGGTCCAGCTGAAATTATATCCATCCACGTTAAATACTGGCATGATGTAGAAATACAGCTGATTTAGCATCCTTCTCATGGCGGGATCGCTCTGGTATGTGTGAAGAGCCTACAGGAGGAAGTAAAATAGAAGTAGTTTCTATAATAAAAAGAGTTTGAAAATGAATTGTAATTGACAGCCAATCACACGACCATAGGCAGTTAATAGTACTGCATGGTTTACTTCTGTAACAGGCCTTATTCTGTTATTGCTATTCCAACAAAGGTGCTTGAATGGAGGCCAAAAATGAAACAAATAGAAGCACAGTAATAAGAATATACTCAGAAAAGACTTTCTAAAGGAGATCATCTTATCAGTTTCAGACAGGCAGGAGAATTCTGGAAGCTATTTGCTCTAAACAGGGACAAGTGCACTGAGCATGGGTGAGATACTTGGGCAAAGGAGATAAAAGTCAATGGGCCACATCCTCAGCTGGCATGAACCAGTTTAGCTCCTACCAAGTTGATGGAGCTATGTCAACTTGCAACAGCTGATGATAGCACCTAATATTGTCATGGTACTTGAAAAGATATCAAAAGGCAAATGACAAAGGTTACCTTATAGGTGAGACAAAGCTCTCAAATTCAAAATCATCAACCCATGTTACTACTCCACGTATGTTGGGAGAATCCTGTAGCCTGCTCCAAGCCTGTGTACCTTAGGTTGGTCCAGTAATTGAAGGTGGAGGAAATAATTCTTCTCCTCTGCCAGATTCAGAATTCATTAGCCCATGAATGTGCTGCTCTCAACAAAGTTCTGGTCGGTCCATGTATTTGCAATTTCACCAGCCAGACTCCTCCATTGTATGCAGAAGTGTATGATCTTTGTGTAACTACCCACCATCACAGGGTGTTAACTGCAGTGTTAAGGCCCCAATGCAGCAAAGTGCTTAAGCATGCACCTAACTTCGAATGAAGATGGTGTAACACCCAGGCATGCTATGCAATGTACCCACATGAGTTCCATTTTACTGAGGGCCCTCAAGGCCCACAGAGGAGTTGTGGTGGGGGAGCAGGATTTATTTAAAAGCACTGAAAGCTTAAATTATTGTTGCTCACAAATGCTAGGGCTACAGTATTAGGGAACTGCCAGATTCCACTGGTTTCTGTCTCTCATTTTTTTGGTATCAGTATTACTAACGTGTCACGCACATAAATAAAGCAAGGGCATGTGAAGTGAAGTCTGTGCTGACTGTACACAATGCTGACTTTAAAATCTGTGTGTTCCCTCTGCATCCAATCAAAACACTGCTCTGGTTCAATCGGCACACACCACAAAATCTAAGTACACAAGCGCAGTTAGCAAAACTACCCTGTCTTGGGAGACTGTCTTGGTTTCAATAGCCTTGTGGTTGATTGAGAGGAACGAGGGCCTCTCATGCCGCCCACTCATTAGCCTAAGTTGACCATTGCTGTCTTAAATATAGGCATTGGAGTTTCAAGTATGCCTGAAAAATGTTTGCAAACAAACTTTCCCTGCCATTTTGGGGATGTACTAGAAGCATCTACAGGCACTAGATCCAAAATAGCAGCACACTGAGGAACCTCTGGTCTGTTACTGCAAAGTTGTGTAAAAAACCACAAGAGAGACTTGCCCTATCTTGGAACAATTTCTTACTGGAATGGTGAACAGAAGGGGAAGTTACATGTGGATTGTATGGAAGTTAGGTTAGAGGAAAAGAGAAGGGGTTGCAGAGTCAGCAACCAGATTGATATGCCAGAACAACCATATGCAAGAAATCCAGAAAGCCTGCATGCCCAGCCATCCACTGAGTGCAGGCAAGCACAGCGTCCTGGGGACAGGATTTCTCTGCAGCAATTCAGCTTCTAGCAGCATTGGAAGATACACAACGGCTACATGTACACTGGCATGATTTTCCGGAAATGCTTTTAACGGAAAAGTTTTCCGTTAAAAGCATTTTCAGAAAAGTGCATCTAGATTGGCAGGACGTTTTTCTGCAAAAGCACTTTTTGCGGCAAAGTGTCCATGGCCAATCTAGATGCGCTTTTCCGCAAAAAAGCCCCGATCGCCATTTTCGCAATCGGGGCTTTTTTGCGGAAAACAAATCTCTGCTGTCTACACTGGCCCTTTTGTGCAAAAGACTTTTGCCCGAATGGGAGCAGCACAGTATTTCCGCAAAAGCACTGACAATCTTACATGAGATCGTCAGTGCTTTTGCGGAAATTCAAGTGGCCAGTGTAGACAGCTAGCAAGTTTTTCCGCAAAAGCAGATGATTTTGCAGAAAAACTTGCCAGTCTAGACACAGCCAACATGTTTACTGAGAGGAAAGGCAAGACGATCCATAATGGATTCAGGGTCCGTTGGTCCCAAGCTAAGCCTCAGAAGCACTTAGAAGGGAGGAATAAGTAGTCTGTACTAAGGATGTTAAGTATTGATTAATTTACTAGTCAAGTAGTCGATGGAATTTCCATTGACTACTCGACTAGTCATTAAGAAAGGGCATTTTAAGCGCTCAATTCCGACTCAGGCTGCATCTCAGCACAACTGCTGGCTGCCACTCTGCACTCTTAAAGGGACAGAGAGGAGCCAACATGCATTCTCTGGTCCCCCACCGGGTCTCAGGACCACCCTCACACTGCCCCTCTGCATTTTTAAAAGCAGTGGGAGCTGGCTGCCCCCCACACCACTGCCCTCACGCTGCCCTCATGCTGCCAAATAACACCGGCTCCTCTCTGTCCCTTTAAGAGAGAGAGAGAGAGAGAGAGAGAGAGAGAGTGTGTGTCAGAGTGATTGAATAGTCGATACTGCTACTCAATAAGCTCCTGCTTATCAGGTAGTTGACTACTCCTTCACATCCCTAGTCTGTACCACTAGGAGTACTCCAAGTGGCCATGTGAAGGGCTACTCAAGCATTTATACCTAAAATTCTGCAGAATGGGTGCCTAGCTTTTGAAAATTTGACACTTAAATTGTATTTTTTTGGCTATGTTAACCCCAGGAAATGTTTGCCCATGTGCTTTCATCCCCAAAATTTGATTTCAGAGTCTGTTCAAATTGCTGTTGAGACACAGTGTCAGCTGCTAATAGGAAAGGGGATAAACAGTCACCTATAATGTATGCATTTTCCTCACTGTCTAAAGTGTCCAGCATTTGGAAGTTCATTTTGAAACCCCCTTTGAAGCTAAGCAGTACTGCCTCACATAAGCAGTTCCAATGAAATCAAGGGTCTACTATCAAAATACTTTTCTGTGTAAGAGTTGAAGAAATGGGCTCTCATATGTCCCAAAGGGAAAATGGGACATTGTGTGGGGATGGTCCAAGGCCCCTGTAATCCCGATGTGAGGCTGGGATCACTGGAACCCTGCCTAGCCTCTCTGAGGTCCTGCCTTCTGCCCCTGCAAGGTGCTGGCATAGCTTCTCTCCCCACCCCCACACACTTTCCTTTATGCTACAACTCACTTTTTTGACAAATGTGGACATTTGTCCCATTTGCTCTTTGATCAAGTTGGCAAAAGCAAATAGGAAAAATTGCCTCCTCTGAGAAAAAAGTCAGGACAGCTGGGACAGAACTTAAAAAAGGGACCATTCTGGCCAAAACAGGACATATGGTTACTTTAATTCCCATGGAATATAAGAGTCTATTCTTCCTCAGTAAAGAGACATTTATGAGCAACAATGGGAGTTTTCCTATGTTTCTAAAACTAACCTAGCTCTTTATTAAGAGAGGTATTTGCAGAGATGATGTGCCTGTAGCTACTATTCCAGACATGTGGACACAGACCAGCAGCCAAGTCCCTGCTCTAAACTCTTTATTCCTATTATCTGTGGTACTCCTTCCTTCCTTGCAAGTTGATACATGTATTGAAGAGAAACATGCTCAGCAGCTGAAAAGTCTCTGAGTGTACTGGTGTTTCAATGTCCTCGTGATTGACAACACAGACATCTACAATAGTGAGTATCACTGGAAAACTCCTCCTACAGACACAACACAGCTGCAGTGATACTTTTATTTTATCAAAATGTATTCATGTGATAAAAAATGAATAGCGGCAATCTGAATTAGAGTAATTTTTACCTTCAGAAGATTATTGCAGCTTGTCAGGAAGATGCAGCTGACAAGTTTAAAACATACAACAAAAACAGCATATCTCCCAACACTAAGAAGCTAGCACTAAGAAAGAAATGTTCTTTCTTTCTTCCGTTTTTTTTCCTGCAGAACAAATGTCATATTAAAGGAAAAATACTTTACACATTTTTTGTTGTTGTTGAACAGAACTGACTTACCATGGACCAAAGAGAAAAAAAAAATTAAAAGCACAGTAATGTTTTCCATAGCTCTTTATTTAAAAATGTCTTAATCATCAAATGCCTCATTGTGGTGACAAGAAGATACTAGACTCTACTTTTTTTTTTATCATTTGCTTAAGAGTTTATCCATTAAAAATTACACTCATAATGTGGCATGATCCTGCAAATCCATGCTACCATGTACAGAGCTTAGCTCAATGGAAATCCACTTGCACTGGTAAGCACTGTAGGAAGTGTTTGCAAGATCAGGCAGAAATATATAGCATGGGGCTTTTTGGCTGACGTGGTATGTTATACGTACACATTTTCAAATAGAAAAAATATTCAGAGCAAGGTCAGAGACAAATCATTTATATCTACTCTGACCCGGCATAACAAAAGCCACAAACATGTGCACATGGGTATGTGCACGCGCACACACAAACACACACACAATTTAGAAGAGCCTTTCCCAAAGGGAAAAAAAGAACAGAATTTAGAGGACAGTATTCTGAATTGTGAGGCGTGGGACAATCTTTACACCCAAGAGACAGACTCAGACAAAGAGAGGCATTGTCTGATTGCCAGCAAACTGCAGTCGGCCTGTGGTCTCTAGGGGTATGTCTAAACTACATGGCTCCGTCAACGGAGCCATGTAGATGAGGCAGGATGACAAAGGGAAATGAAGCAGTGATTTAAATAATCGCTGCTTCATTTAAATCAAAATGGCCACCGCGCTACGCTGATCAGCTGTTTGTCGGCACAGCGCGGCAGTCTAGACGGGGATCGCCGCTTCATTTCCCTTTGTTGTCCTGCCTCA